ATACAACCCAACTCCGAAAAGAAAAAACTGAAAGGACACGCAAGAAGCGGCCTAGAACCTCAGAAAAGAGACAAAAACAAGAACAAACAAAGAGACTCCACTGCCCAAGGGCCTAGAGCATAAACAACAAGAAAAATAAAAACAGAAGATAATAAAACTACAAGTCCACAAAAGAAGACCAATCTAAATGCGCAGCTTTAAGAGTGACTGGAATGGGGAGAAGATTGTCTTGGAAGATACTGAGGTTGCGAGTTTTCCAGAGCCACCAAAGGATATACGTTGTGAGTTGGATCCTTGCCTCCGATGTCTCTGATGAGTCTAAAGAACAAATGAAGTTCCACCAACAGCTGAAGGATAAGTTTTGATTTGGCATACTGCTCCAAGTTACCTGAGATTGCTTCCATAAGTTTGCAGCCCTTGAACAAGTAAACAGGACATGAACCACAGACTCCAAGTCTTCCCCACAGATGCTGCAGGTTGCATCTAACTTCATGCCTTTCTTAACTAAATTAGTTTTGACAGGGAGAGCTCCCACAATGCACTTCCAGATAAAGAATTTAACCTTGCTTACCACTTTGATCTTCCACAGCCTCTGTCTGATCACAGATTGAGAAGGGCCTGAAGAGGAACTGGGGCCAGGCAAATCCATGGATAGCAGCTTTTGATTAGATAAGAAGGAGTAAGTACTAGCCACAGTGAAGTGCCCTTTCTTGTTAAAAAGCCAGTACTGCCTGTCCTCTTTGTCATGCTTCAGGGTGTTTATGGCCAAAATAGCTTGACTGTCAAGGGCACCAAACACTTGGTTAATCAACCAAGAGTTCCAGCCCCTACCAGAATCCAAAAATAAATCCTTGACCCAAATGAGGTGATCCTTGGCAAGGTGCAGCAGAGAAGATTTGTGATGCAATAAATTAGGGACCCAGTTCACATCTGCAATTCTAGTAGTAGCCCCATTCCTGATTTCAACAGCATAACCTTTTGCAAAAGTAGGCAGCACCTCAACCCAGTTAGACCAAAGCCAAGAGCAGCTGTTGGTTTTTGCAGCCTAAAAAATAGAGCAGTTTGGAAAGTGTTTGCTTTTTAAGATTTTACTGACAAGGAGATGAGGCTGAGTGTACACTCTCTACAACTGTTTAAAGATTAGGGCTGTGTTGAAAAGATTCAAATCAAGGAAACCTAGCCCACCTTTGTCTTTGGGAAGAGAGAGATAT